TATGCTACTTCTATCAGAGTTGTAACCACCTTCCACACAACAATGGCTAATGAATTCCATGGAGAAATTATCATTTATTTATTGACAGGGAACGTTGATCCCTTAATGGAACAACAGACCAACAACAGAGGCTTTTCTTAAAAAAAGCAAAGAATGGTGGTCACGAAAGTAGAAGCTATCTTCTTCCATGAACCTCTCATGGAATACCACTTCAAAAGAATGGAGAGAAGATATGGTTTGGACTAAGAGACAGACTAGATCTGATAACATGCATCTGTGACCTACAAAGGAGGTAGAATGGAAGGTATTAGGTTGCATTCCCCTGCATTATACTCTGGAAGAGAGGTCCTGTGCAGCAGGGAAGAGCCATACCTAGCCCAACACAGAGCTTGTGGTTTAAAAGAATAATGTAGCCTGGAGTTAATGGAAATAATACGAAGGTTCTGTCTTAAACTTCCAAAACCAAGACAAATTCGAAGTGAACGTTAAAACACCATCTCCTAACCTGCTCTATTTTGCTTATATGTTGCAGCACCACATATGGTATCTATATGTAAGATCACTCACTATTTAGACTACTGCAGGAGAGTGAGTTACAGAGCACCAGTCTTCATTTAGACTTTTCTTGCTTTCTCCAGTTTGTGTCTCAACCTTAATGTCACTTTAACAGAGCTTTTCTTCCCCCTGCTTTTGGTGGTTTAACAGATATAATATAGTATTTATAGAGCATATCAATGTGCGACAGCTTGCCACAGATCATAAACACATTTTTCTGTTGGAAATGTTGAAGTCGTGATTTTCACCACGTGATCTCCAGTTCCCTAAGGTTTGCTCCTTTAATTGTAAATAGCCAGAAAGTCATCAAGCTAGCGTTTAATAAACTTTTAATTTGAAATGGATTACCACATGTTGTGTTTGTTTACTCATTATTAAATCTCTTAGCAACATATCACCAGCAGAAACAGCATACTGTAGCACTGCATAGATACATTAAAAAACAAACCCATGGGGGATATTAGCAGTTAATAATATCTTTAAAGAAGGCTCCAAGAAAAATAAATAAATATAAACAATATCAAAAATTACTTCTAGAAATTTTGTTACTGCAAATCTGTTTGGCATGGAAATTGCAGATCTTCCATGATCAGCTTATCAGCATATTTCAGAGGTCTGCACGCAGAATAGGACATACACTAACGCTCTTTCTCAGTTCTTATAAATAGATCTTTTCTGTACTTCCCAAACTGAGTATCATGAGTTTTTCCATGTGTTTCCAGAACTGTGATCTATTTAACTGCAGCCTCTATGTGTATGTGTGTGTTCATGTGTACGTGAAGACTGACGGTAGGACCAAACAATGGTAAGGACAAGTTTGATTTATTAAGAATTTGCCCATAACTCTTCACTGTTGAGAAAAATTGGCCGCAACTCCACCTTTTGGATCTGCTATTCAAGGTTTTGTGCTGCATCTAGAAGCACCTTAGCAGATATGTAGAAGATATATGGCAACAAAAAGGACCTTACTCCTCAGTACAACGTATGTTTACACCTCCGTGCTTCTGGTATCAGGGCGGTTATACAAAAGATCACAGTGCAGTTGCTGCTTAGCCTAAAAGTGTCACAGGGTAAACCACATTTTCTTTATCTCCTAAACCATCACTCGCTGTCTGAAAAATACTTCTACTGGCCTCTTTTCATGTTCTACTTCCAACCTGAACTGACAATTCATCACGCTAAATGATTACTGTTTATCTGCTCTCTTTCTTCCAATATCCTCCTCTTTCTCCTCCCATGTCTTCTACTGTGCATCACTGCTGCTGTTCTCAAATGCCCGAGGAACCTCTGTCCTGAAGAACTAAATCTCTGTTTCAGATCTGCACATAATATTCACACAGACACTACAACCTGTGGGTTGCTGCATCCTTCAGTGCATTAAACAAGAGGGAATATAGCAATAGTCTGTATATCAAAAAAGAATTATTTTTGTCCATGGCAGTCAGATCCCACATGCTGAAAAAGAAAAACCAATGGCAGTATCCTGCCATTCCTCTCATTCCTGGATTTCTAACAGCAATTAGGAGCTGTTGGAATCTAGGAGCAATTTCTGAGTCTACTGCAATACGGTCAATTATGTCTTCAATGTAGCTATATCAGGAGAGTCACAGAGGTCAGGGAGGATGCTCAGTCTAAAAGTAACATTCAGCAATTTTTTAAGAAAGCTTCTGGGGAGGTCTGCTGCACAAAAGCAAATGATAATTTGTCTTTCCTATGGGTTACTACTTGATTGAATCTTAATGGAATTTCATAGGAGTAGCATAAGGCATGCCTCTGATGCCAGAACTGTCTCCCTGCCAAATTTGAAGTCCCTGTTCTAGCCCAGGGAGGTGCTAGAGTTCTTCCAGAAATAATTAGGCAAAAAAATATTTTTTCTTTTCTATTTCTTCCTGTAAGCTTGGTGTCATAAGCAGTCAAACTGTTATTGCTGTGACTTCCAAGCATTATTCAGCCTCAAGCAGAGGCCAGCGTAGAAAGTTTCATCCTCAGCAATGAGGATGGTTTAAATTGCTCACAACAGAAAACAAAGTTAAGCACTGTTAATAAAAAGAATCACAGTATTCCTGCTATAACACATGTTGGACCAATATATGAATGAGGAAAATCTAGCTTAGCAAGAACAATAATGACTAGCCAACACTGAAACGGAACTATGGGTTGCTCCAACAAAAGCCTGAATATAAACATGAAAGTTTGAATCCATCACCTTGTGGTCCAGACTGTTCAACCTTCTCTGAGACACCATTCTTTTCAGCAGCACTTGAATACATGAGAAGTTCAGGTGGGAGATGAAGGTGCATATCACACTTATTTTGCTTATCTGAATCCTGTGGTAGTTTAATTATCTATTAAGAAAAAAAAAAAAACTTAATACATAATACCTAAGCAATTCAGTATATAATGGGCTGAGGCCAACTGTATGAGATTCAACAAGGCCAAGTGCCGGGTCCTGCACTTCGGCCACAACAACCCCATGCAACGCTAAAGGCTTGGGGAAGAGTGGCTGGAAAGCTGCCTGTTGGAAAAGGACCTGGGGGTGTTGGTTGACAGCTGGCTGAACATGAGCCGGCTGTGTGCCCAGGCGGCCAAGAAGGCCAATGGCATCCTGGCCTGTATCAGAAATAGTGTGGCCAGCAGGAGGAGGGAAGTGATCGTGCCCCTGTACTTGGCACTGGTGAGGCCGCACCTCGAATACTGTGTTCAGTTTTGGGCCCCTCACTACAAGAAGGACGCCGAGGTGCTGGAGCATGTCCAGAGAAGGGCAATGAAGCTGGTGAGGGATCTGGAGAACAAGCCTTATGAGGGAACTGGGGTTCCCTCAGAACAAGCTGAGGGAGCTGGGGTTGTTTAGCCTGGAGAAAAGGAGGCTGAGGGG